GCGTCAAAACACACATGTTACGTATGTATATGCCCCCTGAATTCGTTCACTAAAAACGAGCACTTAAATTCAAGAAGGCGTTAGGAGTTTCATCAGTCAATCGGAAGGACGAAGTATTTCACATTAGCATACTGCAGCATGATTGGGAAAGCGCATAGTAGCAGGCACACTATGCAATTCAATTTTTGATTTTTCGTGCTCTGATCTCTACCGGAATTGTTTACTTTTAATGAGCACTCATAAAAACTGATATGATAACACAAAGGTGGATTCGATTTCGCCCACTGAAAATCTTCACAACCATAATACATGACTTCACTACGCATTCATTCATCATCGTTGTATTGCGCTTGAGATTCTCAAAAATATACCAAAGTCCTTGCCAGCATCGGAAGGAATTGCCATTACTGTATGTAAACTGACTCTTCTATGACAGGCATTTATATCCGTATTTTACCCACATTTTCCAACTAGTTCCGATTATATGTGGATATTATCAACATGTCTTGAATAATTACAATGTGTAAAAAAATAATGTAATGATTAGAATGTCATATACAAATATGCAGAAATCGAAAATGAGTTTCATTTCTGCTCAACACGCGTCGTTGTGGTATCATTATCGTTATTATTATTATTATTATTATTATTATTATTATTATTATTATTATTATTATTATTATTATCATTATTATTATCATTTCAAATTTTGCACATCCGACGGTGTATATAACATACTCTTCAGCTTCTGTGAGGATAAAAAGCCAACTTTTTTCATGCAGCAAAACCCAAAATCGCCTTCAAACATGACGTTATCATGGCTCGCTATTTCATATCCTTATCAGCTCTGATAACCAAAAAACTTACTGTCTAGCAAAATCATCTCCGCCACTCATATTGATCGTTGATGACGATGGAACATTCGAGGAAGACACTGCTTAAGCACGTCCTCACCCTAGCAATAAACACTTGCTTGCTTATATTTGCACGTCTCTTCAAGATGAGACTGAAATATTGTCGATTCATATAATTAACAAAGCACTATTAATAATTCTCTAGACCAATGTTTCTCACGCCTGTAAACTCCAAAACCTCATTTGATGATCCGGCAAGCCGTCATCAATCACCCCTCCCTAACAAATATTTACTATTTCAGCTCATAATGTAAGCAGTAAACTGAAAACAAATCAGGAAAATCCTCGTTGACGTGAAAGAAATTAATTTTCTGGAATGAAACGAGTATCTTCAGAACAGTATCTATCTTTTACGGAAAGAATGTGGATCTCATCATAATAGTCAGCAATTAGCAACGCAAAGCAATAAGAAAAACATTCGTCAACGATGAAAAAATTGAAATTTATCAACAATTTCATTTATACCTTTAATTGCCCCCCGACACCCCCAAATTACCCTCCCCCAGGGGGTAATTTACCCTAATATAAGAAACACTGACCTCGGCAATATCTTGGGAGAAAATGATAGCGCCAAAGGTTTGAAAGAATGACAAGAAGGTTTGAAAATGACAGGTAGGCTGCCATCAGGGAAGTTAAGAGCAAAAATGAAACAGCTAAACATTCCATGACGACGCTCATGAATCTGTTATGCACTCAGACTGACATGACACAATGCCTGTCGCTGTACTGTCATGCTTACAACTAGTTTCATGCTGAGCGAATCTCTGAACTTCCGAATTTGGGTTTCACTCAACAGCAAAATTTTTTAGAAGTTTCATTTTGCATTCTGGATGTGTTCTATCGAGAACAACTGCAGATGCTTATGAATGCAACAATTCACACAGCCTGAAGTTAGCGCTCTCTAACGCAATTTAAAGAATTAGAAGCACCGTAGTTGCAGTCAGTGGAACCAAAAAGTGAACTGTCTGAGTCAGTAGTTTTTACGCTTTCATGCTCCATGCGCTATTTTGTCCGAGTGGGAGACTGTGATTCACACCCCTCGCTCCTACAATCTACTTAACTGTCATTTCCCTTTCAATAATCCATATTTTCTGAGCGATCAATAATATTTTGTGAGCGATCAATAACATAAAAAAACTTCAATAAGCCATCAAGAAGTCTGCTGTCTGTGGTATTAAAGACGTTAATTCCTTGCGAATAAAGAAGCGTTTAAAAAAAAGGATTCAACAATAAAGAAAGAAACAAAGAACGACGGTAATTTCGTTGATTCTCCACTTC